TCAACTTTTTTTTCTCTAAAAGGTTATTATTATAAAGAGAGAGGGAGGGAGGAGAATAAAAAGAAGGAAGGTATACCGAAAATAAAAAAAAATTTATTTTAATTTTTATTTTACGGTAATCGTGTAGGGGAATAAGGAAAGAAAAAAAAATTAGGAATGAGAGGAAAGGAAAGAGAGAAGGTTGATGTGATTGAAACAGTCAATTTGAACCTTTATGTATTAATTTGAAAAGTGCCCCGACCACAAACATAATATAATTTTTGTTAAACCGAAAATTCTTTCGAAAAAAGAAATTAAGTGGCCATTAATGTCAATTAATGATGAAAAAAAAAAAATCTGCATAATGTCTCACAACGTCCGGCTATTAAACATCCTGGCGAAAGTCACAAGTACTTTTTAGAATTTATTTATATATATGGTGAACAAAGTACATTTCTTAGAAAAAGAAAAAAAGAAAAAAAAAAAAAAGAAAATCTCTAAATTAATGAAATGAAATTCATAGGTTTCCTTTCTAACGCAAGGTAACAAATTATTCCCATTTTTCTTACTTTTTTGAAATTCGGTTATTATAAATTCGGTTATTATAATATGTTAATTTATTCGATATAAAAAAATGATTTCTTTGGATTACAAATTGTGTAAGGTGATTGATTGTAGAAACAAAATGTGTAAAGATTTACCGCCAGATTACCCTTTTTTGACATCTTCATTTATTACCCACCAATGAAAAAATTAATGATTGTTGAACAATGTGGAATTTTTAATGCATTCACGAATGGAATTAACGTAAAAAGAAGGTTCTCTAAGTTAAACTACAAAGTGAATTTATTCCTTATAAATTTTCACAGCATTTAGACTTTTTATTCGTCATTTTTTTTTTCTTTATTTTATCATAATTCCGCGAACCAATGAATTATTATTGGTAAGACAATAATTTCCACATGCATAAACTTTCATTACATATTAAATAAATCACATATATTGCTTATCTCATTTCCTTGTTAAATTTTCCAAACAAAGGTCGAACAATCTTGGATTGCGTTTTGCATCGATATTTTAATCACAATTGAACCTTCGACTCGACCGACCTTTTATACGTAACGGGCATAAATGTGTTCTTCCATATGGACTTTTGGAAAAAAAAAATTCCGAGAAAAAAAAAAAAAAGCTTTCATTCCTTATTTTTTCATTTACTGAATTACAGTACATTAACGGAGATCACAAAATAAAATCTAACGTACATAATCTTCCGCATCAAAAAAAAACCAAGGAAATCGGATGTACCCGACCTCGCATGAAACGGGTTCAAAGTTTCAATATATTTGGTAAGTTCCTGTAAATTAATTATTTCCTGATTTGGCCTAACAGGAGATGAAGGGCTAATCTCGATTCATTCACAATTTGATCGATTCGACAAAAACGTAGTTAATAATACTGTTGATTAATTATGGATACACAATTAGCATCATGTACCTTTAAAACATGTATATTAGTGCCGGAAAATCAAATGTTGACATTTGTACCATTCTCTTAAATTTCATAAATTTTATCAGATAAGCTGCATATAAGCTGCGAAAGGAGAATCCCGATCAATCAAAGGAAATTATTTTACAGGTATGTAACTTTTCTAAACAAAAACCTGCAATAATTTAACACAGGTAGGACGAGTATGGTATTACATGATTAGGGTTAAAAAGTAAAAGGCCAGTGATAAAGTCGAAGTCATTGAATGAGTCACTATTAAGTCGTGACTGAATTGATTGATACTTAACAGAACATCTTATACCACAAGAATGTAAACGAAATTCCCGGATTCTGGCAAATTCAAATTTAATTCTGGCCAAACTCATTGAATAATTTCAGCCGCAGTGCACACAAAAGATAACTGTTTTATTACCCACAATTGTAAGACGTATAAGAATATTATAAAAACGATATTTATTTTCCGGTTCATAACCTCAATGAATTTTTATTTTTTACGGAAATTGATCGTGACATAAACAATTGAAAAAACAAAAAAAAATTTCCATGAAAGAAAATGAAGACCGACCTAACTTTTCTTGGTAAAATGTAAACAATCATACATGATCCCGAGGATATGTGATCTTAAGAATAATATTTTTTGATTTTAATATATAATTATTTCTAAATTTGTTAAATTATACGTTTTTGTCTAAAATTATATGTATGTAAATATGTATATATTCAACTAGATAAAATGTATTATTTATTCCTCCATAATTTGATGGATAAGATACCCGCGAAAATAGCCATAAAACCTCCAAATCTTAACACGAAACCAATAGAATCGGCACTTAATTTCCTGTCATGTGGATGTGGTTGTGGTTGTGGATGTGGAGGTTGTCTTGTAGAATTTGTATCATTCCCACCCTCATCACTGGGTTCTAATATCGCAAATATTATACTACTTATAAATGTCACTAAAAATTGAGGTAATACGATGTACATATTATGAATTCCTAATAATACACCCGCTTCTGACGAACCATTAGTTGAAATACCACCATGTGAATCTATAAATGGTAACTCTGATCTCGTTTCGTCATTTGAGATTCTTCTAGATGTTTTTACATCATCATCATCGTCATCAGATTCATTATCATCTCTCTCTAAAACAACTCCAGATTCAACCAGGTTATACATTAATTGATCGTTTTCCTCAACTTCATAATTACGTTGTCCAACAGTTCCAGATTCTCTTGAAATATATTCTCCCAAGATTGAAAATGGTGCCCACATAATTATAGCCCAAGAAATTCCACATAAACTGATTACGATACTTGCTTGAAGATCACTAGTTACAAACCAGGTTATTAACATCGAGAATGCAAAAATGAAATGGGAAATTGTCCATAATTTTGGTACTGTGAGAAATGCAATAGGAAGTTGAAATAATTGTTTCCATGAAAATTTTGTCCCAGCAGTCGCGCTTGCTCCGACGGGACTGACCAAAAATGGTAAGATGAAAGATGCTGATAAACTCACAAGCGAATATAATAATAAGGAAAAGGAACCAACACGCGTTGACTCTCCAACCGAATCATCAGAAGGACTCTCGGCTAAATCACTGGTGGAACGAGAATGAACTTCTGATACCCAGGTGGTTGCATAAAATAAAAACGGAAACCAACCAATCCAAGCAAAAAATTGAACGTTACATACTAACTGAACGGGTTTTGGAAGATTACGAACAGCTTTCATAATGGAATATAATGTCTCATAAGCTGCATTTAAAGCATTTGTAGAACTGCTCGTACTTTCAGTGTTAATCTTTTCATGAACAGCCCAACATGTTAATGCATCAGAAGCCATTAAGATTATAGATGCAAGAACGCATAGGACTTGTAATTGAGTTTTACCAAAGAAAGGGAATATATCGACTAAATTAACGAACCCCCTGCATAATAATTATGAGTCATGTTAGATAAAGAGATCAAAACCAATCTTTCTGATATATATTATTGCCACCTACAGAAAATAACCTACGACACTTCCAATCCCAACCATTCTACCAGCCCAGGCTGTGCCTTCTTCTTGCTGAGATGGTGGTAGACTATCAACAATGATAGCCCGACAACTCGCTTGAACTTTAATATTAACGAAAGATTATTAACAAATAGGATAAAAATTCACTCTTAAAAGATTACAGGATACAACTCTTACCACAATTTATTGCGAAATCAAGTAGATACATCGAAAAAACAGCCAACCACTTTGATAATAAAATTGTCTAATTTAAAGAAAATACACATCATTATATTAAAATCATTTTTGACAACATGAATTAATAGGCTCAAATTTACCGTCGAAGACTCTGATCCAAATAGTAAACCAACGATTTCTTTAGTCCAGCCCATACATATTAAAGCACATATTACTAAAAAACTACCGACTAATAAAAAAGGCCTTCTTCGGCCAAATCTAGACTTTGAATTATCTGAAAGTGATCCAACTATAGGTTGCATTATAAGACCTATATTATAAATTATTGATTATTGATTATATATATGTATTGTATAAATATTTTTTTTTTTTACAAAAAAAGGAAAGAGATTATAAATTACCCGATAAAGGCCCCGCAAGCCATACTAAAGACATTAATGACTTTGATAAGCCCAAAGAGAGTAAATATGGTGTTCCTAAAAAAATAAAAATAGCTCGATGAGAATATCCGCAATTTGAGTGACGGATATGATGAATTATTAAACTAATAGAACTTACCATATGCCAGTTCCACGGACCCTAAATAATTAATAAAAATAAACGTTCATTTAATCACTATTTAAATAGTTATCATTTAAGAAATAATGATGATGAAATCCTTGCTTTACCTACAAGTAAATTGTAGACTTGTAAATCATTTACATTGAAAAATAAAAAATGAATTAATATGAAAAGTTAAAAAAAAAAAACTTTATTTTCAAACCCGTTTTTAAAACAATAAAGAAACTGCATATATAACTCACCCAGCTAAACATTGAGTCAATAATATCATTTTAATAGTTCTATTATTTCCTCGAACAAACTGCTTATTCTGTTCATTATTAGATCGGAGGCCATGCAAGTGTGAATCGTTATTTGTATAATTCAAATTAACTGCACTGCCTTCATTGTCTTCTTGACCGGTTATTCCTCTTGCAGATATATCCACCGATGTTGTTGATGAACGTGGTGTTACTTCCTGCATGTTTTTTTTTTTCAAATTAGCACAGAAACGCAGGAATCGAAGTTATATACATATATGCATGAATCGAGTTAACTTTAAATACTTTAAATGAAATTGAGATTTGTTGATATGACATAACGTTGTGATAATCAACCAAATAAGGTAAATTTACCAAAAGCCACTATCGGAGAATATTATATATAATAATTATAATTATAATTTAGGGGTAAATTAAAATTAAAAAGATTATCATTATTTTAAGTATTTGTGTAAATCATGATGGTATCAACACCACTGCTGAATAACGTAATAATCAAATACTACATTTACATTCAATCGTTAAAGAAATTGTGGAACTATCATCAACTGCCGTAGTACAACCACGACAGTTCATCAACGGCATCTTCTAAAGTTTTTGTGGTTCTTTAAGTGGAAGAAGGAATCACGCTTGTGATCGTTTTTAATTTTAAATTTTTCGGAATTTTCTGTTGAAGCTGCGTTATTGTTGATATGATGATCACGTAGAAATTGTTGGAGTTTAGAATTTCCTTTCCTTTGAGGAAGGTTCTTATCTACTGTCTCGGCTGGCATCTTGGCTGGAACCTTAGCAGAATTACCGTTAGTGGTGCCCGGATCCTTTTGCATCATCTGCGGGATTTTTCTTTGCATTATCAACGGGATTTCTCGCACCAGGTCACACAAGATCTTATTGGTTTGATAATTTGCGAATTAGAAATGCATTGAATGAATGTATTTTTTGATTTATTTTTCATTCATGTTTAATGTTATTTATTTTTTTTTAAAAAAAAGATATTGTTAATTCCCTCTGCTTGTCTTTACCTGAAAAGAAGGACGTCCAAAAAACGTACGAAAAAACGTCGAAATTTCTTTTGGGATGAACAAATATTATTTAATAATTGCGGGTTGAATTTTTAAAGTTCCTTTCTTTTAGCAAGTATATATGCCATAATCGGGACTTCTTGATGAGATAAAATTACTTCACCTTTTTTATATTTATTTTTTTTTTTTTTGCTTCAAATCCAATTTGCTAAATTAGAGCAACCTACTTATCAAAATAACAAGAAGAAATTATATAATCTAGTCGTGGAAAATGTTTAATAACTTTCCAAAGTGCTTCAATTAAAATATTTGGGATTGTTTTTTTCACTACAATCAAGAGATTTTGTTAGTTTTTGACTGAAAGTAGACTTAAATTTTTTGTCTATAGGTGAAATAATTCATAAATACGTGCAATATATTACCGATATGAAAATTCAGACTTCAATAATAATTTCAAATACTGCCTCTACTTCCACACGACATACACGCATTTAAACACGAAATCTATCAAGTCACTAATTTCACTGAATATGAAATCTTTTACCCTATATTCAACCTTTTTTAATGATCCTAATCTAAAAGGTTGAAGATTCCAATCCTCATACAAAAGAGTATAAAATATTATTAACACGGTTCATACTTAATAACGTTAATTAAGTTAAATTGTGGACAGTCCATCGTTTCTATCATCTTCAATGTCTCTTATTCTGATTCAAAGGGTCATTGGACAGACACGTTGTAATCTAAATATTTACTAATGACTATATAAATATCAAAGTAGTTAAGAAAAATAAAACTATTCATTAACTATATTATCATGACGAACATGTATAAATAATATACTATGTCTGTTGGTACTAAAGGTTTAACTTTGTAGCGTCTGTGATATCAGGTATGCAAAATTTTGCATCTGGTCGCTAACTATGATAATTTTTCTGACAAGACGCGTGTAATTGAATAAATATTTAACTTTATCTAATAAGGATGCGATGGTAAAGTGGGTGAGCGGTCAAGTAAATAAATTAAACAAGAAACGTTGAAGAAACTCATCATTGTGTATCTCATGGTATAAAAGGCTTCGTATTCGTAGAATTCCTGTCAAAACTCAGATAAAGAAGTACTTTAACATTTCCACATTTTCACTTCGACGCAATCCGTATTCCTTTTTCCTCTCTCTCTTATTATTCTAAAAAAAAAAAAAAGAATTATCAAAGGTTACTAATTACTTTGATGGCGGTAGAACTAAATTGCGGGATCAAACTGACAGCTTTCTTTCGTATTTGAGGACATATGAACAAATTAATTGTTCAAAAAATTTTTTGATCGAGAAAGTAATACTACCTCATATTCTAAATGTCTTCCAATCCTTGTTTTTCTTTTCACTTAAAAAGTTGATGAAATTACAAACAAAAAAAAAAAAAGAAGAGCTTTTCTTAAATAACATCTATTTTATTTTATTTTTTTTTTTGGTGTTGAATGGCGAAAGAATTATTTTAAAGGCTGATTTTTTATTTGACCTATACTTAGATATAACCATCCATATGGAAAAAGAATTCCGGAATCTTTCATTTGGCACGTTCCCGGAGGTTTCTATTCTTATTTATGTAAAAATAAATTCTTACTATGATTTAAAAAAATCAATCAATCAATTATTCTTTTACTTTTATCCAAATTAGAGGTAAATTCAGTTAAAATGTTTTAACCATTAACAGTCCGTCATATGCACTTATGTATAACATGTTACAAATTTATGATTATAATTTTTGAATTCACGTATTTTAGCAAGATCTAATTATATTTACAAAAATAACTTGTTGGAATCCGAATATTACATACATGTCGAGAGTTTGTAAATAATGAATGCGATTACTATAAAGCGCGTTTAAAAAAAAATTGTTTGGTAAAATTTAAATACATTAAATGTACGCCGTTTTATCGGTTGCTATATGCTGTATATAGTTTCAATATTATAAAAAGTATATAATATAATCTACTTAACCGCGAAATAAAATTCGCGTAAAAAGGGCAATCTTCCTTATTCTGCAATTTTAAAATAAGGGATAATGGTTTCATCACAATTATTTTATTTAAAAATTTAATGGCTTCTTTATTATATGATTTCAATTTGTTTCGGTTTCATTAGGTATCAAATGTCATAAGGTTTGACCTTTTTTTTTTTAGATGCTTATCTATTTATGTGATTTTTTCAATTAATATTCAAATTCAATTTTCGTAAAAATTTTCCATTATATCTTTCTCAATTCCTTCCAAGCAAATATATTGGAACAAGTTGCTTTTTTTTTCAACAGCCTTCTCAATTTAACTTGCTGCTGCTTCATCATTAATCAATGATAAATAGAATAATGCTGCGTCATTTAAATCAATAAAACTGCTTCTTTTAAATCAACACTTTTTTTTTAAAAAAAAAAAAATAAGTAAAAAAAGAATCAAAAGTATTTCCAAAAGAATCTATCTAGTTCAGTAAATTGGTTCCATCATATATATTTTTTTATATGTAAATTAACGTTAAATCGTTAGATTTTAAGAATATGCTCGAATTTTATCAATGATAAAGAGCTTACAGATAAAAAGGTGTATTTAATTGAAAAATTATGAACACAGAATTTAAGAATTAATGAAATGGTGAACTTTTTTTTAATAATTTATATTATACCAACAATACTATATACGTTACATACCTTCTTTTTGAATTCTAGGCACGGAGTAGGGATCCTACATTAACCATCGGAAGATTGTATGCGAGGGATGGATGATTAATGACATTTGGAACAGGAGTTTCTAGTAATCACAGGGATCGGAACGCTGATCAGCAGTATATAAAGTTACATGCCCGCAAAAGATATTACCTACTCGGTTTTGCGGTAAATTAAATGGTGGACTTGTTCCACGAACAAAAACCATTTTGAATGGAGGGAGGATCGAGGAAATGTACCAATAAGTGTCAATTGATAGCTTTCCCTTTAATTTAATTCCAAAAAAATAAAAAAAAAAAAAAAGAAAACAATTAGAATAAAAGGGGTAACTACTACTATTTGCCTTATTCAAAGATATTTTTGAAAGACAAGAAAGTCGTAATACCAAGTAAAGCAATTCTTGCTGAAAAAGGAGATTTTGTCGCTGCGAAACTTGATTGGTGGTTCATTTTTAGAAACAAGAAACAATGATATTTAAAAAAAATTTCGAGTGAAACAATAAAGAATAGTAAAAATCCCTTTACGCATACAATAAACGTGTACTCCTGTTTAAAAATTTATCCTGTCAATAATAAAAATTAATTTCTACATTTACGTTTTATTTATTATAATTAAATAATGTAGGAATACTCGTGGAAAATGATGCTAAAAATTGTGTTTCTTTTCGTTTATTTTGTTTCTTGGTTAAAAACTCATAAAACCAAAATAAAATAAAAAAAATATAATATATAAAATATAAAATAAATAAATAAATCTATATAGGTATATTATATATATATATATATATATATATTTACTTGGATGGCATCCAAGATCTCCAAGTTCAAAATGTCTTTTATCCAAACTTCTACTGCCACCCCATCATTTCCAACCTTTCAAAATGACAATACAACACCACCTTTTTCAAGGTTACAAAAAATTTTTGCAAAGAGAATTCGTGCAAAAGGTTTATTGCCTTTTCTCAATCTAGAAAAGACATATTTAACGCTTGATAATGTTGACGAAGAATTCGCAAAGTCTCCAAATAAATCATGTCATAAGGAACCAAAAATCCATCGTCCTCGACAAAAATCAGCTGCAAAGCATAATCGCGTATCACCACAATCTCCATTATCGGATTTCGTATCAACATCACCCGATCAAAATACTAGTAACCTTTTGAATGCTTTCGGTATTTTGAAATCTGTACCCAACCCTCCTCCTTCTCGCCCTTCTAGCGGAACTTTCTTCGAAAAAAGAATGATTTTATTTAACCCTCCTCCACCAAATACAATTATACTTGATCAGCAGCATCACATAAACAAACGTAAACATTGTGGTAAAACGATGAAAAATAATTTTATTACCGTCGTCCCCACTCCATTTGTTTTTGGTGGTTTTAATCATGCATTTATTAGCCAAGATGATGAAAATGATGAATATGATGAATGTTATAAGGATCTTGGTGACATATATTGAGAATAACGTTCATCAAAAACGGGAACTCTTTATCTTTAATAACAGACAATTATAGATAATTTAAAAATTTTCTCTTTTTTTTTTTTAGAAAAAAGTTACACTCAATTTATTTTACAATGTAATAAGCCAATTTTTTTTTACCTTGCGTATTTTATTGTTTAAATAACTTAACCAACTCTTTCTTATTTACTTTCCCCATAGCATTCTTGGGTATTCCTTCTATAACTTTTAACAAACTAGGAATTTTATAATTGGCCAATTTACCCTTGGAAAATTCTTTCAACACTTTTAAATCCATCTTCAATTCCTATGAAAAAAAAAAATTTTTTTTTTTTTGGTAAAATTGAAGGTTAAACGAAAAGCATTTTAAAAAAATTGATATCTATCCACCTTATTTTGTAATACAACTATAGCACCAATCTTTTGTCCCCATTCTAAATCTTCGACTCCTAAAACACAAACGTCTAATATATTTGGATGTGATAATAGTTCTCTTTCAATTTCCAATGCAGAAATTTTATACCCTCCGGATTTAATAATATCAACACTACTTCTTCCAAGTACTTTGAATACATTTTCTTTTTTAGTTCTAATTGCTATATCGCCTGTTTTAAACCACCCATCTTGTGTAAATTCTTTTTGTGTAGCTTCGGGTTTGTTCCAATATCTATTAATAAATAATTAATATTTTGGATTTGGATTTTTCGTACTATTCAATTAAAATTTGTTCTACTTACTCTTTAAATACATTTAATCCTTTAACTTGGATTTCCCCTGGTACCTCATTTAAATTAGTAACATTTTTCCCATCTTCAGAAATTAATCTTATCTGAACTCCTGGCAAAGGAGACCCAACACATCCCTAAAAAATTTATTTTAAACGGACTTAATACTTTTTTTATTTAACCATTATATAAAATATATATGTTTTTTTTTTACCTCAAATCTTTTTTTTTCCTCATATTCATGACTTAATGCCATTCCAATTTCACTCATTCCATATCTTTCTAAAAGTATTTGTCCACCACTAATTTCTTTCCAAGTATTTCTAATTGGACGAGGTAAAGCAGCTGATCCCGAAATCATTAATCTAAACTGTGAAAAAGATTCTGTTGCTTTAGGTTTTAATTCATCAGGAATATTATTCTTATAATGCTGAATCAATTTTGCTAAAAAGATATTAAATTTGAAGTATCAATTTAAAATAGGTCTTGAATTTACCAAATTAATTTGAAGAAAAACACTTGATGTATAATTTACAGTAAATTGTGGGAACAGCCATGAATAAAGAAAGATTTCTTTCGGGACTCATCCATCTATCCCATACTTTGGCTGCGTCAAATTTTGGTGACATTTCAACAGTTGCTCCCGCATAAATCGCGCATGTAAGTGCCTAATCAATCAAATATAACAGATATATAAAACTTCAACGCTAATTAAATTAGAATCAAAAGCACTTTTTTCTTTTTTGCTCACATTTAATATTCCCTGATTTAAAGTTTTCAGAAAAAAATGTAGGATTAATTAATAAATTCATTAAAATTTCCAAATAAATTAATTTTAAGATGACCTACATGCATATGGTGTAAAGGCAACACATGTAATATCCTATCTTTATCACTCCATCTCCAAATTTCAATAAGTGGTAAAACTTGAGCCATAATGTTGGAATGAGTTAATACCACTCCTTTCGGTTTTCCTATAACATATAAAAAATGCATTACACGTGGAATTAAAAAAATTAACTATTTAAAAGTTTAAATAACAATCTTACTAGTTACCTGTAGTTCCACTAGTATATATAATTAAAGCTCTACGTGATTCTTTCATCGGAATTATGGATGGGGGCTAATTAAGTTAAAAAATTATTATAAATTTACCAAATAAATATTTGGTTGTGTATATTTGATAAATTTCACACGCACACCTTATAATTCATTCCATCATAATCGCTATATCTTTGACCTTTATCTCCGACTATCATGAGATTATTTATTCCTGCATCTTTGGCCACATCTTTTATTTTATCATAAAAGTCCGGATGTGTAATAACTGTGGATGCTTGCGAATCCTTTAATACGTATAAAAGTTCAGATTGCGGATGTGTTGTACCTATAACAAAAATATTAAAAAACAATTTAATTTCATAATTTAAAAAAATAAAAAAGATTTTATTATAACATACATAAGGGAACAGAAATTCCTCCAGCTGACCAAATTGACCATTGAGAAACGACATAATCATATCCACTTGGACATAAAAATGCTACACGTTTCTCATTTAAATCATGATTAAAAGATTCTTTTAATAATTTACTTCTAAATGATGATATATCAGAAACAAGATCTCGATAAGAACGAGAAGCGTTTGATTTTATATCCACAATTGCGGTTTTTTGAATAGGTTGTGTTTCGGCATGTTTAAGAAGTTGCGTAAATATAGGAAGTGACGGAAGGTCTATGAAGTTTTTGAAGGCCTGTTAGAAAGGGAGTAAAGTAAGAAAAGAACAGAACAAGAGAAATGTATATATATATTTTTTTATTTTACAATTTTTTTGACCTGAAGTGTATAGTCTATATTGTAATGAATTTAAATAATTAACAGATTTTTTAATAGATTTGAAGTAAAATGTCATGATTGTGAGAAAAAGTTGATAATCCTCTTTTTTTTTTTTAACGCCAAAATCCATTGTGAAACCGATCAGTGCGATTCGTATTAAAAACTATGTAGGGATGATTACATAATAACGAATTATTTCTTCAAATTTCTCCATTTTTGAAGCTCCTTAAAAAAAAAAAAAAAAAGGAACAAATAATTCGTCTATTTATTATGATGTCTGATCAACTACCCAATGAACTTTTTATCAAAATATTTTTTGAAGTATTATATCATACAAGGTATAAACACAGTTGCTTTTTTCTTTTTCTTTTAATAAATTTGTATTTTTCTCATTAATAATACTGAAAATTAGCTATAAAGAACTTGCAAAATTAAGACGGACAAGTAAAAGATGGAGAGATTGTATAAATGTTGTAATTAGAGACGAAATAATGGAAACATATGGCTTAGGAAAAAGTTGGTGGTGTTGGGTAAGTATCAAATATCATCTCAATTTTTTTTTTAATAAAATAATAATTAGTCTCATTTTTTTTTTTCCTGCTGAAAATGAAAAAAGATTAAAGTATCATATTTCAACGGAGAAGGAGGACTTTATACACATAATAATCCAATATCATATGACAACTTAGATGATTCATTCTGTTTTAAAGTATCAGAAATATTATCATATCCTAAAAAAATTCGAAAAATTTCTGTGGAATTTTGTAATAATAAAATCTATCTGTGTTCAAAAATTATTATTAAAGTAAGTAACCTTAGAGATAAAAATGTTTACAAGAATGATTTTGGAAGTGTTCATTTTATTCGTACTAAAGAAGGTACGATTAGATTAGATTTCGTAAAAGTTAAAGATAATATTGTTTATAATAGAGTAGAATTATAAATTTGTTGTGGTCTTTGAGGAAAAAATTTATGGAGGTTGTGATGTTACATTTAAATAGCAAAAAAAAAAAAAAAAAAAAAAATTGTGAGGGCAGTGCCCATTTATTTTATTTTATTTTTTTTTTATATAGTGTCTTTCTTTAATAACTTACCTAATGAGCGTCAACAATTTTTTTTTTTTTTTCAAGTGATATTTTCAAATTATACTTCTATATAATCAAAGAACATTCAAAAGAAATTGTTTGTAT